GAACGTGTTTGTAACAGACAAAGCCAAACACCTTCAAATGACTGACACTCTGCTTATCTCCAGTCCATTTCTCTAAAGGAACAACTTCCTTTAGTTTCTTCTTTGGACACCTGTTCAGAATATATGTTGATGTGGCAACAACTTCTCCCCATAACACGTGAGGTAGCTTTTTCTCTTTCAGCATGCTTCTGGTCATATCAAGCAAAGTTCTGTTTCTTCTTTCAGCAAGACCGTTGTGCTGAGGAGTATATGGAGCAGTAACCTCATGTTCTATTCCACTCTCCTCACAGAACTTTTGAAACACTGTAGAGTTATACTCACCTCCACCATCCGCTCTCAGAATTTTTAACTTCTGACCACTGTGCTTTTCAGTATTAACTTTGAATTTCTTGAACTCGGTAAACACTTCATGCTTGAACTTGATGAGTGTTACCCATTTCATTCTTGGTAACTCATCCACAAAAGACACAAAATAATTGTTTCCTCCAAGTCAAGGTACTGGAAATGGTCCACACACATCAGAATGTACTACTCCAAGAGCATGCTTCGCTCTGGGGGCTACTTCTGATGTAAATGGAAATCTAGGTTGCTTTCCTTTCATGCATATCTCACATGACTTCTCAGGCTTCACAATCTTCGAAATACCATGTACAAGATTCTTAGAACATAGATGCCCTAAGCTTCTATAGTTCAAATGCCCCAACCTCTTATGCCACAAATTATTGTTACCTTCAGCGCCTTCTGCACTAAGACATGTTGCTTCAGCTGTTTCTACATTCACCTTGAATGTTCTATTGCCTCCTTGTTCAGAATTCATAATCAACTTCTGATTAGAATCATACAACGTTAGAAGATTGTTTTTCATAACAACTGAGAAACCTTTCTCAATCAGCTGACCTACGCTCATCAGATTGCTTCTAATACCAGGAACATACCAAACGTCTTTAATCAGAATGTCTTTCAAATTCTTCACACTAACTCTGACATCTCCCATACCTTCTGCATTAAGATACTTATCGTCAGCACATCTGCTCTTTGTTCTCCTTCTAGAGTCAAAGTCTGTCAGCCATTGTTTGTTTCCAGTTAAATGATTTGAACAACCAGTGTCCATATACCACCAATCTTCTGAGCATTTTCCACCAGAATCAAAAGCCATTAGTAGTACAGGTTCATCATCAGAGTTTCTCTTAGCCATATATGATTCTTTTGATTTCATTTCCTTGTTTAACCTACAATCTTTGGCAAAATGGCCAAATTGTTTACAAGAGTAACATTGAACCTTCCTTTTGTCATGCCTCTCCTTTCCTTTATGATATTTCTTATCATCAGAAGTTGAGGCTCCTGACTTCTGGAATCTATCACCACATTTATTCTGCTTCTGGTCTTTCTTGACAAAAGAAGCCTTCAGAGCTTGCTCAACTTCCCTCTCAGAAGTTCTCTCAGACAGACGTAACTCCTATGCTTCTAAGATGCTTTGCAATTCTTCTATTCTCATGGTTTCCAGATATTTAGAATATTCAATAGAAACAACAATGTAATCAAATTGAGGAGTAAGCGACCTCAGAATCTTCTCTATGATTACCTGTTCAGACAGAGTTTCTCCACACGCCTTCATCTCGTTAGTGATCAGAATCACTCTGGAGATATATTCAGAAACTTTCTCACTGCTCTTCATGTTGAGGTTCTCATATTGCTTTCGTAGGGATTGAATCTTCACCTTCTTTACTGATGCGTCACCACCGTAACATCTCACCATTAAATCCCATGCCCCTTTTGACATTGTTGAATCAGCAATCTTCTCGAACACACTTTCATCCACACACTGATGGATATAGAACCGAACTTTCTGGTCCCTCTTCCTCATCATCCTCTTAGCAGTTCTCTGTTCTTCAGTTGCATCTGCTGCAACTGGTACATAACCATCTGTAACCAGATCCAAAACATCTTGCACACCAAACAACACACGCATTTGTATCATCCATCTGTTCCAGTTTTTGCCATTAAAAACTGGAATTTTGGTGTTCAAACTACTGTCTCCACTCATTTTAAACCTTGCACGGATTTTTCAGATTTTCAAACACACTGTTTCCCAACCCACAGAATCAGATTATGTTCAGATTTTTTTGTTAAAGATTTCAACAGGAAAAAAAATCAATGAACCAAAATCAAACACACAGCTCACAATCACTTGTGTTTCCCAGGAAAAACAGAACCAAGTGTTCTGATACCAATTTGTTGGTGCAAGGTAATGAAAGAGGTTAAGAAGAATGAGCAATGAATGATAACAAAGAGGACTACTATTGTATATCAAATAGAGGAATAAATGAGTTACAATATTGATAGCCTAGGTAGCATATTTATACTAAAAATGAAAATGCCAAAAGGCCCTATTAAAGAATAAGTATTGGGAATTATAGACATTCCAATAACACATAGTTCCAGAGCCTATAAACTTTATTATTGAACTACATGTGTCGACACATAGTATGGATTTGTTGACATATCCTACTGAATTTTATGTAGAAAATTATTTTTGATGCATGATACTTTTTTACAACCTTTTCAAACCTATTCTAGATGCATTCTAAGATCCCTAATGCAAGAGTGGATATAAAGACTCAGAAATATCGTTTAATATACAAAATAACTAAATTTATCCTAGTTTTGACATCATGTAAAATATCTATATAAGAGGCAAATGCATTCACAGAAACAAGCGTCACTAACATTTCAACACGTCTAATGAAATCGAATAAAAAACACACGTAACACTTCAGAGAGAGTTGTAAGATGGTTGGTGGTAAAATTGACATAACGGTCAATTTAAAGTCAACCTGGAGAATTGTCGTAATGTGCCTTAAAATCTCAAGTGAAAAAATATATATTTTGGTGCTGACATAGCTTGTGCCTGTTAAGATTTTGATAGCTATAAATATGGGTTTCTCTCATTTATTGTAATACAAGTTACAGAAGTTGTATAAGGTATACATTCTAGTAAGAAGCAAAGGGTAAATTTCTTATAATTATATTCTAGCGATTTGACAGGTTTTTGTGGTTATCAAAGGGATTGGAAAACACTTTAAACACCTTGGATTTGTGTGATTCTTATATTGAGAGTTCGAGAGACTGAAAAACACTTGGGATATAAGGAAACTCCAAAGACTATGTTCTTGTACCTCATATTGTAATCTCTTGTAATAAATTTTGAAGTATAGTGAATCAGAGTGTTGTTGTCTCCCTCAGACATAGATCGATTTGATCGAAAGTAGATTTTGTGTTCATGCCTATTATTATTTGGAGAAATCATACTCACCTCCCCTGAGATCTATTATAATAATACCAACACTCTCCCATCATATAATTTTAAAATATATATTAACCTCCTCTGAGGTGTATTTAATGTCACTGACATCCTCTATAATTTTTAATTTCTAGTGACAGCCAAAAACTGTATGTATAGATGAAATTTGCCTACGATTCTTTGTTAGTCACTAATAATTATCGTTGGTATATATATGTTAAGGTAAAATTAATACATATTTTAAAATAAAAAATAGTGTCAGTGTCATTTTATCAAACTCCAAAAAAAGTGAGTTTATTTTTTCCTTATTATTTTTATTGCTTGAAACCATTTATTTGATTGTCATTAGTCTTTGTTCAAAAAGGGGTCAGTGGACTAAAAAAGGGACGGAAGAAGGCGAATGAAGAAAAATAGTATGTTAATCCGAATGAAGAAAAAATTGTAGGAGCAAAATCTAAATAGAATGAAAAAAAGAAGCAACAGCAACAACAAAAGTCCATGAAAAAAACAAGATGTATTTTTTTTTTTTAAACAAAAGAATTGGCAAATAAAAGAGTTAATGCTACAACCATCCCATAATTAGTTAAAGCTTCCATAAAAGTCAGACTAAGTAATAAAGTACCTCGTATTTTGTCCTCTGCTTCTGATTGTCTCGCAATCCCTTCTACAGCTTGCCCTGCAGCTGTGCCTTGACCAACTCCACATCCAATAGAAGCAAGTCCGACGGCTAACCCAACAGCAATAACAGAAACAACAACAATGAGTGGATTCATGATAAATTTCTCCTATTCCAAATAAAATAAAATAAAAAGTTAATAATATAATCAACAAAAAATTTATGACTTAATTATTTCATTCTTCATATTCCTCTTTATCTAGTCAAAGTGTAATTCAAATTTGTTCCACACATCAAAATTTTTAATATGATTAAATTATGAATGATTTTTCTAAAGTGATTTTAACTGTTTTATCAATTTCAAAACATTAACAACCATTACCTATCAACCATTAGTTATTTAGAATAAAACGAGCATAATAACCTTTCTATCTCTATCTATAAAAACAGAAAGTTAAAACAGTCAAGTGAAATAGTATATTTTAATTTTGCTCCATGTCAGCATATTGTTTGAATGCATGGATTATATATCTTGACCACGTGTGTATTCTTTTAAAATTTTATTTAGAACCTTCTAGTTCAAGTTAGTTTAGCCTCCTCCCACCACCACCTTACATCATCGAGGTTCTAGAACCTAATATTTTAACTGAGTGTGACACTAGCAATATTTGCTTGAACTAAGCGGTAAAATAGTTAGTATTAGCGAACATGGAAATGGTTCTCCATGAACCAAAAAACCACGGCAGAAAAAACAGGTAACTGATCAATTCAACTAGCTCTTTCTACAACTACCATTCTAATATATTCTATTGTATATATTTCTTTTTCTACAATACATATGAATATGAAATTTTAGCATCTAGTGAGATTAAATATAGAATTGATTCAACTTGTTATTATAAGTACTAACAAAAGATATTGCATAAGTCAAGTATCAAAACATTGAATCAAAAATATAACAAATAATGGCAAGTTGATATATGTATTGTTCGTGGAAAGATGAAACCAAACTCATTACATATTATAAGCATTATCAACCTCTCCATTATTTCATGCCTATTCAATCTGCCGTAACATCAAACCATGAAAATCCAAAGCTGCTGCTTCTTCTTCTTTCTCTTCTTATTCACCAATACTATTTCATTATCATCAACAACAAACACACTTCAACAAGGCTCATCTCTTTCAGTTGAGAAACCAAATGACACCCTCGTTTCATCCAACCGCGATTTCTCCGCGGGTTTCTTCCCGGTCGGAGACAACGCTTTCTGTTTCTCCGTCTACTTCACAAAATCCAAACAACCGTTGGTTGTTTGGATGGCCAACCGAGACCAACCCGTAAACGGAAAATACTCAAAACTCTCACTTTCTAAATACGGTAACCTCATTTTAACCGATGCAAAAAGAAAAAAATCACCCTGGTCTATTTCAAATACTTCTCCTTTTCCTTTACAGTTAAAGCTTCGAAACAACGGTAACCTTGTCCTCGAAACGGTTAACAGCAACGTTACTGTCATTTGGCAAAGTTTTGATTCTCCAACGGATACACTTTTACTTGGCCAACAAGTTACAGAACAGGCAAGCTTAATTTCATCCAAAAGCGAAAAAAACTATTCCACAGGCTTCTATAAACTATATTTCGACAACGACAACGCTCTTCGTCTTCTTTTCAAAGGTCCTTTGTTATCTAGCGTCTACTGGCCAGCACCTTGGCAATTACCAATTGATGCAGGAAGATCAACCTATAATGTTTCTAAAACCGCGCAACTCGATTCTTTAGGTCATTTTATATCCTCTGATGCATTCGAATTTTTCACGAGTGATTATCCTAAAAGAGTTCGGAGATTACTCAAAATGGACCATGATGGTAACTTCCGTGCTTACAGCTTCAATGAGAAAACTAAGACATGGGAAGTATCATGGCAAGCTTTTCCTGAACCGTGTTCGGTTCACGGTCTTTGCGGAGAAAATGGCATCTGTACTTATCATCCTGTTAATGGAAGAACATGTTATTGTTTAAAAGGTTACAAGTTGAAGAATGGTAATGATTGGAGACAAGGGTGTGAGCCTGAGTTTAAACCTTCTGATCTTTCTTGTAATCACGGTGAGTCTTTCGGTTTTCTTCATCTTCAAAACATGGAATTGTATGGCTATGATCTGAAAGTAGTAAAAGTTACAAGCGTGAAGCAATGTCAACAAGTATGTTTGGATCTTTGTGAGAAATGCAAAGGTGTTCAATTCAAATTCAACCGCGATTCTACTTATGATTGTTTTCCTAAATCATTGTTGGTCAATGGAAGAGATTCTCATAATATTGATGGAGATGTTTATCTGAAATTGCCAAGAGTTACTTTGTTAGATTCAACTATGCCAGTTAAACATACACCTATGAAGTGTTCCATTGAAAATTCGTCGCAAACCTTGAATAGATTCTATGAGAAACCAAGTAAAAACTCAACTTTGAGTTTCTTAACTTGGGTTGCATATGGAATAGGAGTGTTTGAAATCTCCATAGTTTTCTTTGTTTGGTTCTTTTTGTTTAGAACCAATAAGAATCATGGTGATAATGTTGATCAAATACAAAGACACCTTCTATCCGCGACAGGTTTTCAAAGATTTTCCTACTCAGAACTAAAAATCGCGACCGAGGGTTTCACTAAAGAGATCGGTCGAGGAGGAGGAGGGGTTGTTTACAAAGCTATACTCGATGATGATCGTGTTGCAGCTGTTAAACAATTAAATGTAGCGGATCAAGGAGAAGCCGAGTTTCTAGCCGAGATAAGCACTATTGGTATGTTGAACCACATGAACTTGATTGATATGTGGGGATATTGTGTCGAAGGGAAGCATAGGATTTTGGTTTATGAGTTCATGGAACATGGTTCTTTAGCAGAAAAGCTTTCTTCCAATTCACTTGATTGGAACAAAAGGTTCAATGTAGCTCTTGGAACAGCTAAAGGCTTGGCCTATTTACATGAAGAGTGTTTAGAATGGGTTTTACATTGTGATGTGAAGCCTCAAAATATTCTACTAGACACAAATTTTCAACCAAAAGTAGCTGATTTCGGTTTATCAAAGCTTTTGAATAGAGATGAACGTGTTAGTTCAGCTTTTTCAAGGATTAGAGGGACAAGAGGCTATATGGCACCAGAATGGGTTTATAATCTTAGAATCACTTCTAAGGTTGATGTTTATAGTTATGGGATTGTGTTGCTTGAAATGGTGAGTGGAAAAAGTCCAATGGAAATCCATAGTCTTGATAATAGTGGAGGTATAGAGCATCAAAGAATGGTGAGCTGGTTTATGGATAAAGTGAAAAATGCACCTACGACTATGGTTTGGATTGAGGAGATTGTTGATGGGAATTTGGAAGGGAAATATGATGTTAATCAAGTTGAGAATTTGGTTAGAGTTGCTTTGAAGTGTGTGAAAGATGACATGAATGAGAGACCATCTATGAGTCAAGTTGTTGAGATGCTTCTTCAGTCACACGAAAAAGTTAGAGGACAACCTCGTTAGTTTTGTTTTTCTTTATGGTTCTTTAAAATGGTTGAGTATTGTGCTGTTACAGATAAAATTGTATAGTTTATATTATCTTTTTCCAGTGAATATATATATACATACAACATTCGATATTCATATACTTCCTCCGTCTCACAATGAGGTCACTTATATAGAGTAAAATAGTGTTCTAGAATGAATGATTTATGTTAACTTTCAATATATTTTTTTTAATTTTATCTTTAATTAATTAAAACTTCATCATTTCTAATACATGATTAAAAATACAATAGTAAAAATATTATTCTCTTTTTTTTATAATTTTTTTTAATATATGTGAAATGGTATGCTGAATCACTCATTATAGAATGGTGAGAATATTTACATTATAATATAGGGTGCTTTTGGAAAAAAATTTAACATGTGAGGACAATAATAATGACAACTACAATAAATTAGTTTAAAATTTGATCAAAATGTATTTTAGAGGAGAGAGCATATCTTCAAATTATTTTAGTACATACCAATCTTCTAAAAGCACATTCTTAAGAATTTACTATTATTTTTTTAAATGATCACTATAATTCTTAAACCATTCTCTTTTTTTTTTTTAATTCTAAAATTCTGAAAGTTGTGATAACAAGAATGACATAGATATGAAACCTATAGATTTACAACAAGTCAAAAACAAAACTTATTAACTAATGAATACACAGACTAAAATGAAAAAGATCAAAGCACGCGAATTAAGAAAATCAAACAAAATGATCGAAAATATGAATTTTCGTGGGGCGACTTGAACCACCACGCCGACCGAAGATACTTTGGCCTTCGTGTGACGATAGTAAATTTTATGCAGAGTTGTTTCCTTCAAGCATTGAGAGGCCGATGTTGGGATGAAGTTGTTTGGAGGGGCAGTTAGTTGAGATGAAGTTTTATCAAGGAGTTGTCCGTGAAGAGAGCGAATAGGGTTATTAAGCCCATACATCTTGTGCCACAACTAAAGGATCCTTAGATAGAGCTTCTTCTACTTCATTCTTGCATGGGTATCTCCAAACTCTTTTTTGACCTCACAATGTGTTAACCTAATCATATGGAGACAACAACTATTTAGTTTGATAAAGAGTTGTGAATGGCGGTTGAAGACATCGTGGTTGATGGAGGTCCTTTCTTTGGGGACCTTTAATGGAGGATGACTTTTGTACCTATTAAAGTTAAGGGCTTAGATTTGTACTTGGATGTATAGGTTGCCTCATACGCATTTGTGGCTTCTAGGGCCCAATCTTAGGTGTCACATGATCATATATTGAGAGACTGTAAGATATATGGTATGGACCTTGGTTTCGACAGAGTTTTGGATGATTTTGACCTTAGCGGTTTTACTAAAAAACATCGTCCCTCCCAAAGCACGACATGTTTTAGAGAGTTCCTTTTTTAGTAAAAATGTTCAGAAAATGAATTAAAAATTTGACATAACCACAAGACAAAATGGTTTTTGATTGTTTGCAAGCAGCGTATACGCAAGATTTTTTCCTTGATATCCTTATTGACGGTCTAGGCAAAAATATGTCTCGGTAGAGTATTGTACGATCTTTAAATATCGACTTATAAATCCTTTATTTTCTGTTGATGAAATTTGTCCTGTTTGTCGCAAAGCGTTCTTGAATACATTTGGGGAACACATTATTCATTGCAAAAAGCTTCCAGAATTCAAATATTGACATGATTTTGTTAGAGATGTCTTATTTGATATATTTAGGCATGCATGGTTATCTGCGAAGAAAGAGATGTCTGCAAATTTCTTGACTGACTCACAAGAGGAGAGATCGACTCTTAGGTCAGTAGATGTTTTGGTATTTCGGTGGATAGTAAGTAAACATGCATGTGTAGACTTGATTGAGATTTCCCCGCTAATAGAACTAAGGGCTGGAGTTTTTAATGTGGGACAAATAACTCTCAAAGGCGTTTCAAGTAAAGTGAAAGAGCATGATAAATCATGTTTCGACAATTAACATATTTTCATACCATTTGTTTTTGACAATTTTAATTTTTCTAACACGAAAAGTAATAGATTTTTTACATAAAATATAAAGACTCATGTATAACAATATTATGTCACCTAAGACAATAAATATAATTTTTAAAAAGGATTGATTTTGTTATAAAAAATAATGACACAAGTTGTTGTTCTTTTATAGAATTTTGATTTTATATATATATATTGATCGTACCTGACCAAAATGGATTGTCAAAGCCCACAAGCTATGAGTTAAGCAGCAGTTAAAGATGAAGTGGATGGGAGTACCTGTAAGATACTTTGATGCCAAAGTAAAGTTCAGGGCTTATTGCAAGTAAGAGAGTATAAGAGTGTGAATGATTCAATACCTGGCCCTCTCAAGTGAGAGGGTATTTATAGCCCCAGCTTTGGGCCAAGGTCTCTAATGTTGGGCCACGATGAGGCCCAACATGAAGACTGCCAAGGCTTACGTGTGTATGGAGTCCAACACATGGCCTCTCCCCTGGTCAACTTCCTCGAGAAAGTAGGAGTTGGACATGTTATTCTCGGAGGATAGTATGATGATGATATGGACACGTGGGCTACGTTCCTCAACGAACATGTGGAGAGTTGCCCAACAGTCCCCAACTTTGGTTGCTTGCCTTTGGGCCTTATGCAAAGGTGTGGATTGGGCCTCCCCAACGGTGGGGCAAGTGTTGTCCTAGTACAGATCAGGAGCCCCCAAGTTATTTCCCTGAGGTGAAAGGGTGATTACTTAAGTTCAGTTTCATGGGCGGGGAGAATTTGCTCGAGAATCTCAACGTAACCCTCTAACGAGGACAAGTTGTTCCCTTGCGTCGAGGATCTCGTAAACACGCAAGTTGTAAGGTCAAATAGGTCAGTTGTTCGTTCGGCGCCTGTCAGGGACATATAGGCCGCAGGGAGCCTCCCCGGGCTCTTTTTCGAGATGCTCGTCCCCAAGATGTTGCCACGATGTCGAGTATTATTTCATCCTCGTGAGCGGCACGATGCTCGTTTACATGCTTTAGTAATGGAGTCGAGCATAACCTCGCGCGAGACGTCTTCGTCGTGCTCATGCATAATGTTTTGTGTGAAGTTCGAGGATATGTTCGCCTTTTGAGACTGGGCATGTGGCTGCTTGTTGCACCATGTGGCTGTTATTTTGGGATCCCATCTTTTCATGGGGAGTCCAAAAGGCCCAAACTAATGATGACTTTTTGTGTGCAATCTCGTAGGGTCTAAGCCATCTATAAAAAGGGTACCCCAGGGTTTCATTTGTTATTCTCAAGCTTTCTGCATTTCTTCCCCATTCATGCATGGATTACCTCCTCTTAACTTCTCCTTAGAGTTCTTCAAGGTATTCTTATCCAAGTAAGTCATATCCCTCTAACAACACGTTTTCTTTAGAATTTTTAGATTAAACGCTTAGTTTTCGTCTTGATTGGAAGAATATTGGATGAACATTCATGGGCTCTGGGATGAACATCCATGAATGTTCTTTGAATTTCATGATAGTTGTTGTACTCCAAAATTTGCCTTCCCATTTTCTTCAAGATATTCTTTCAAAGGGTTCTCAAAAATACTCAAGAATCTCAAGGGTTGACCAGTTAAACCTCCTCCTAAAGAAAGGGGCTACAACTATGGTTTTGAGCTCCTCAAAGAAATTTGGATTGCAAAGGTCTCAAATGGTTTTAATGGTTCATCATAGGTCCTCAATAGTGTTCATATCAAGTTTAAATCCTTGCATCATAAGTTTGCTCAGTCAATGGCTCAGATGATTGAAAATCAACTTTATTGAGTAAAAAGTCAACTATGGTCAACATACAGCCAAACTTCAAGATTTTTTGTCAACATCAACATTTTGAAGTGATATTCATCATTTGATCAAGGGTTGATCATGATTCCTCAAGGAAAGTCCTCAAATCATCAAAAGACCAAAATTGTCAAATTAGTGTTTCCTTAGGAGAAGTCAATGAACTTTGACCAAGCATAACTTTCACATGTTTCATCAAATTTTTCCTAACCAAAGACCATTTTGAAGGAAATTCAATTCTCTACAACTTTGTAATTATGCTCAAGTCCAAAAAGTGGTTCATTTGAAAGATATGAGCTTATAAATTATAAGTCATTTTCAAAAGTCAACAAAAAGATACTTTTTGTCAAGGCAACTTACATCAAGATAAAGTCTCCAAATGCAAAAATGATCAAAAGAGAAATTTTAGATCACATCTTTATATTTTAAAAAAGTCTAAGATCACCTTCAAAAGATGATAATTGAGCAAGTTATGAGTTTCACAAGTTGGGAAATTTTGAGGAAATACATGAAATGCAAAATGTGCAAACTTGAAATGTTGGACTTGTGGCCTAACTTTTTGGGTTTCAAACATACCTGTGATATGGTGGGAGAACTGACTTGGATGTTTTTCATTTTATCACAAATGTTATGGTTAGCAAGAGTCGCCACCGACTTTTCTTTTATCCAAAAAGGAAAGGCTGAAAAGAATAGGAAAAGGGAAGGTGTTAGCACCCTTTTCATCCATAGTTATCTATGGGCTCTTATTTTCTTTCTAGATTACTTGCTTTTGTTTGAAAATGTTCTTTGTATGGTTTTTGAAAGTATTTTGAAAAGGTGCCTTCGTTTAGGCAAACTTTGTAATAGTTCTCGTTCGTAAGAACGTATACAAAGTGTTGGGCTTTTGAAAATACTTCATGTTTGGAAAGTGTTTTGAAAGTGTTTTTGAATGTGTTTGTGTTTGTTTTGAAAATAAGCAAGGATGTTTGATTTGAAAATGAGCAAGCAACTAGGAACAATCTACCTACTCAAAAGTCTTAGTTTGTTTCTTCCTTTCCTTTGATATTGCTATTTTACCATTAATTTGGTAAGAAGCCTTATCTTTGGATGTAAAGGGACAGGCGTGGGTCATCGTATAGCCATGATAGCAATGTTGTGAGATATCTTACCATTTCTCTTTGAGGGACTAAGATCATTTTTTGAAAGGCA